CCCTAGGTATAACTAAAACTAACTCACTTTCCAATGTATAACGACATTAGGTTTTTCCAAAATAATATTAAAATTCATATTAATTAATTAATTAATTAACAAGTAAATAAATGCATACTTTTTACGGAATAATATGTCCTTAGATTGTTGTTATGAAACCCTAACTTGCTACAAATTTTCTCAAACTCTGATCTAGCCACAAGTTGTTCCCATCTAGTCTCCCGCCACCCAATTAGCACTCGCCTCCGTCATCGTCATCGCCACCCAAGTGCACTTATCAAATGTAAAAAGAAAAAACAGCTATATATATTCCTAAAAATTTTATAATGTTGTGTCATAACTCCGACATGAAGTGCAGTAACGCCGGCATAAAAGTTAATTATATGTAATTGAATGTAAAAGTTAAAGTTATCAATAAAGACCGAGATGCGGTAACGATAGGCCAACAATAGTTAGATTAGGTTAGGTTAATTTAGTCCATTTCGATTTTAATGAGTCACTTTTCTGTCCAGGTAAAAATGTTCATATTTTTGTCATTATTGAGTCATAAGTAATACTTTTGCCATTATTTCTTATTGTATAGCCAATAGGGGAAAAATAATTGAAATGTCCCAAACTTTAAGTACCTCAAATTTGCATATGTAATACAAAATATATATACCACAAATTTTATGTAAAAAGTTATTTTCGCACCACGAATGTTTGTTTTTTTACAAATACAAATTTATTGGATTAACTACATAATTCAAAATACCCTAAGTTTTGTTAGGATATACTCCGTAGTAGTTAATAACATTCTAAAATTTCATTTGTGAAATAAATAATATTGCATCCTCATAAATTTTTTGTTTATTTTAATTTATGTACTTCATACTATAAATTTATATTTGTGAAAAGATAAATGACAATTGTAAAAATATAACTTTTTATATAAAATTTGGATGTATATATTACATGTGCAAGTTTGGTGCACTTATCTCACTCTCTTTCACAATGTGAGATATTCACATTATTTTTCGAAGCTAATAAACTAGTTCCTTTTATTATAAATAAATATTATCTATAGATAATACATTTCAAAGGTACAATTATGTAAAGTGTTGCCATGTGTCATCTTCTTAGCAAATATTAATTAATCTCCCGATCCATTAGTATTTAACTCACATTAGAATTGATGTTACGTTAATTTAGGACTAATCTACAAGTTGGAATCCTACGTTAAGCTATCCTACGCTAAGCTATTCAAAAAATCTTCCTAAAACTATGCAGTTCAAATAATAAAATCTCATGTTTATTTTAAACTATAACAACTTTTTTATATGTACTTTGATTGTCACAAAATATATATTGAATTTCATAACTTTTTATTATCTTTCATATGACACCAATATTGAATATATAAAAATAAAAAATAATTTAACACTTTAAAAAACATTTGTTTTTTAAAGTGTTACTACCTCCGTCCCACTATGTTTGGGACAAGAGGGCGTGACAAAACTTTTAAGAAAAAATGGAATTGTGTGGTTGGTATTGAATTGATATGAAGTGTGAATAAAGTAAGAATGAATTGTAATCACCCAAATATTACCAAATATGATACATGACAAACTTAATGGGACGGACGAAAAAGGTAAAACGGGACAAAGTTCGGAGGCGGGGGGAGTATATCTTTTTTATTTGTACTCTGATATATTGTTACAAAAAATATATAAAAATTCATATTTTTATAATCTTTCATATATGACACCAATGTTGCATATATAAAATATATGTATTAATATGTTCAATTTATAATCTTGCATATATAAAAAATAGAATTGATTTTTATTATTTTTATATATGCAATACTGATGTCATATAAAAAATAATAAAAAAATTAGGAATTTTGATACTCTCTCCGTCCTCTAATACATGTCTTTCTTTCTATTTTAAGATGTTCCTTAATATTTGTCTCTCTTTCCATTTTTAGAAAGTTTTTCAATAAATATACCTACATATCCTCATTCTCTTTCCTACGTTTTCATTCAAACACAACCTACTACATCTTTTACATTACTCCTATTATTTTCTTCTTAAAACTTGTGCCAAACTCTATAAGGTCATTTATTGGAGAACGGATGGAGTATATATTTCGTAAGAATCGGAGTATAAATAAAAAAAGTTATAGAAGTTTTAAAAAACAGATGTTATTTTAAGGTGTTAAGTTATCTTTTAATTTTATGCATCCAATATTGGTGTCATTAAAAGATAATAAAAAGTTATTAATTTGATACGGAGTATATTATTTGTAACAGCACAAATAAACATGTTACATCACTTATAAGATCAGACATGCGTTTTAATTAAAGTGTTAAATTCTTATTTTTTTTATATTTAACATTGGTGTCATTATGAAGGATAATAAAAAGTTGTGAATTTTGATATAGTTTTTGTAACAATTGGGTTACAAGTAAAAAAGTTGTATCACATTAAAATAAACATGAAATTTTATTTTGGTGGGACCTGATGATCGAGTTATAATTGAACATGAAAAATTTCCATAATTTGTAATTGTGATCCCATTTTATAACACTTAAATTGGCTGAACTGGTTGAATGAATGACTTATGAAAAATTATATTTAAAATTTTGTTTACTGATAAAATAAAGATTTTTTTTATATGGAAAATAGCTAAGATAATCCTCTACAGTAACTTCAGCCAATACAGTCAGAAAAGTAACTTCAATCTTACTTTTCCTTATTACTACCTCCGTCCCACTAATATTGGGACAGAAAGGGGAGGTACGATTATTAAGAATAATGAGTTTTTGTGATTGATATTAATTGATAAAGTAAGAATATTGATAAAGTAAGAATAAAGTATGAATGATTTAGAGTCACACAAGCTTTACCAAATTTGGTATGAAGCAATATTAGCGGGACGAAGGAAGTGTTATACAATTCAACGCGCGAAATAAAAAATTACGTGTTTGGTCAAATAAATGGCTGATAAGCCAAAAAATAGAATCACCAAACGGGCTGTGTAAATTTAAAAATTTTAAAATAATATTTTGAATAATTCTTTGTAGTACAATAGTACATATATGATGTAATATATTATGAGTAATAAAAAGCTATTATAAATTATCTTTAAGTACATGTATTCCAAATGTAAAACAAGCACAATAGTTTTTAAAATCTTTTTTTAAATTCTTTTTCCCAGAATTAAAAAAACAATTAAGAATTATGAAAATTTTATCGTATTCGATTAGAATTCAACAAAGTTCTATATATTATTTATGTAAAATTTTCCCAATATTCAGACGGTCTCATAGATTATGGTTATGTTTGGCACTTCGAAATGTATGTGGAAGCTAATGTCTGAATTAAGGGTTATTGTGTGAACTGGAGAATATTGTCTAGAGCTGAAATATTATTTCATTCAATATAATAACTACAAGCACTAAACAGAAATGAAAGCGGAATATAAAAAAATAAACTAAGCACTCCCAAATCATTTCAATAAATTTGTTTAAAAATCTAATAACTTCCAAATCATTCCTAAAATGGAAAAAAGAGCAAAACATCATAAAATGAAAGTTGGAAAAATTAAAATATACAGCAAAACTGCACGTATTAAAATTTGGTAAATATAATTTGTCTTAATGTTATCTCAAATTTATTTTCGCCTGTCTAATTAAGGATATTTTCAATTTGAATCATTTTTTTGATCTCATTTATGAAAAAAAAAGTTATTTTTGCTTAAGTATACAATGTTGATATATTTTGGTCGAGAGTTTTAGCTTTCAGATTTTTCTTTAAATTACATATATAACAATTATATCATGACACTAAAAGTGTTATTCAAGAGCTAAATAAATAAGGTAGACTCTATATAAAAGATACAAAATAATTCTTTATATTATTATATACAAAATAATATAGTATTATTTGGTCATGAAAATTGATATCATTTTCTTCGCTTTTGAATATGGGTGTTTGTATTTTTTTTCATTATATAATTTGACATGTTTATTTTTTTTTATTCTGGCTACTTCTTGATACGATGAGAATCTTTCTATAGGTTTTATTCATCTGACCTTCTAGGTAAAAATTGTTTAAAAGTCTAAAACATGCAACTTTTGTTCGTTCAATAACAATGTATTTTACTTAATAAAATCAAATTTATCTTCAATATAATAACTCAATCTAATGAAAAATAAATTGGTCGCTGTCAATCACAATATGCACCCCTATTCCTTCATTAAAATCGTAATGTCACAAAATATATATTCTAAACTCTTTTCTTAAAGAAACGGATCAAAAGACTAAATCAAAAATTTCTAAAACCTAGAGGGACTAATATCTTAAGAACAATTGACAACATCCATTTTTAGATAAATAATTTCCAAAAATGTGTAGTTAGTTTACAAAAAAATAGTAAGTACGGATGAAATTTGATGGATAAGAATATGCACTAAGCATTTTCTTTTCGTTTAAGTAAAAATATATTAATTTCAATTGGATACAATTGAGAGTTATAAAAACAACATGCTTTTTTTATTAGAAAATATAGACTGGAAACATGTTTAGATAATTAGTTCAAAAATAAGGCATACTCAATAAATTAGAAATATGCATATTAAACGAATGTTATAATCGATTAAATAAGTGATTTTCCGTTAGTAAAATCAAACAACAAAATCATTTTATCCCGTGCACGGCACGGGTAAAAATACTAGTATATTACATGTGCAAGTTTAGTGCACTTATCACACACTCCTTCACGGTATGAGAAATTTAAATTACTTTCCCTAGCTAATAAACTAATTTCTTTTATTGTAAATAAATTTTGTGTATGGGCTATGATCACACAAACACGGGCGGGCATGTTCAGGAGTAAGACGAAAGTCCAAGGCCAATATAAATTACAGCCCTATTGCGAAGCCCAACTCATGGCTGTCCAGAAGCCCATACCAGCGAAAAATGCACCATCAACACCGGTCACCGCTGCGGCGCTGCTAACCAGATTTTCCTGCTGCTTTTCGCGGAGGTTTAGGGCCGAACGAAGAAGATGAGTCAGATAGGCGATGAAACGCCCTTCTCCTTCCCTTAATCGTCCGTATCTTCGCCCCCTTTTGTTCAAAAGCAAAGTAAACCAAGGAAGAACGCCCTGTCAGCTTATTGCGAACTCTGTCAGGTTTAAAACGCCCTCTTTTTGATGGAAATCCTGCTTATTTTCCGACTGCTTTATCTGGGTTCTTGCTATTTAAATTCAAGGATGGCACTTGCTCTGCTCATCTTACCACCATTGAAGGTGCATTTCTTTATCTTCTTCCTCTTCTTCGTTTAAATTAAAGGGTTTTACTGAATGCGCCATTTTCTGATACGAGTAGCTTCCTTCTAAGTTGTTTTTGTATTCAGTTCTTTATCTTAATTCTTCTTAAATAGTTTTACTTTCCCCTGAGCTTGGCCGCTTGCTTCCGTATAATGTAGATCTTCATTACTATTTGAAGAGCCATGGCCTAATTCAATTAGTTTTTCTTATTTTTTTAACATCTGAATTCTTTTTGGGTGTCTGAATTACTTGCTGAATTGCTTCCAAAGGCATGGTGAAAAGCATTCTTTTTTTATATTTATACTAGTAATTTCATTTTTTGGTAATTGTACGCTTTTGATTCTATATTTTCTTTTTTCTTTTTATTAATGTACATTGAATGAATGAGGGGTGTCGTTTCCTTCTGAAATATTTGATGCACTGTTTTTACTATACTACAGTATAGGATTCACACTTTTTAAAAGAATAGTGAACTTTTCATTTAAATAAAAGCTCACACAAGAGGATATGCAGTTATTTATAGTTAACTTATCTGAAGTAATGCTAGTGATAACAAAGACGATAATTTTTTAATGCCTAAGAGATGTTAGTTAGCAGTTACAAGATTCAAGAATTCTTTATATATAAAAAATACTACCTCCGTCCAAAAATAATGGTCATGTATTTCCTATTTGGGGTTTCCCAAAATGATAGTCACATTTCCCTTTTTGGTAAAGAAATTAAAGTAGACTATCATTTATACCCCTCCTTTTTAATAACAGTAAAAGTAAATGAGTGAACAATACAATAAAGTAAGGTTATATGGGCCTTCTACCGCCTTTTCTTAAGACAACTAAAATTTGGGACGGAGGGAGTAAAATTTATCGTAGCTATTCGATAAAAATTCTATGTTTTACTTCAGTAGTTTGGTTTGCTAAGAGTGCCAACTAAATCTGATAATATCGAACAGCATGATCAAAAGAATCCAAATCATTATATTTGAGGAACTAACTAACTTTGTCCATTTAAAGTTGCAGATCAAAACTGGAAGTTTTGCCATTAATGTTTTAATTTTTGGAGTGAATTTAGAGATAGTAGGATCCTTCATTAAACCTTTCCTTATTTTTCATGAAAATTAGTTGACTGTTGTACATAAGTACTAGGTAATAGATTGATTTCTGTTAAGCTTACTTTCTACCTCTTATAATTACTGTAACAGGAGACGAAGGCTGATAGCGGATTGCTTAAAGTGTTCAGGTAAGGAAATATTGACATGGTGTCTCATAATGGTGCATTTTCTTTGTACGTATATTTGTAATATCTTAGTTTCGAAAATAAAAGAGTAACAAATACACATATCATAGCATTTTCGGTGGCTTGCACATGACCACCACATATAGCTGACCTCTATATGCATTTGTCACTTGAGAGTAACGGTGTAGAAACATGTCTGTTTATTGTTCTGCATGAGGTGATTAAAAGATTCATTAATCATGCACACATTTTTCTATAAATTCATGCTTGCTTCTTCCGATAAGTACATGCCTTAGGGAGGAAAAGGAAAAATTGAACTTCCTGAGGAGTTTTGTGTAAGACGATCTTCAATTAATTCTTAGTGAGTTCATTTGTTCTGTTAAATTCAACCTTTGCTTGTCTGAAGTTAGTTCTTCACTGTTATTATAGTAGATTAGTAGTAGCTCAGTTATGTGTAAGTGTCTTTTTATATATTAAATGACATTAAACATGTTTTATGAGGTCAATGTAGCACTATTTTCATTTTATATATGTAATTATTAGTGAATTATGCTTTAATTTCCTAACTAAATTCTTTCATATACACATTCATTAGTCACATGTACTCTTTTTTCAGGCTCTTTTTCCATTTAGATAAAGCTTCCCCTCTGCACAACTCATCATACTTGGCTAGTCTCTTCTCTTCAAGATGAACAATCCTCAGCATGGTCAAGATGAAGTAAGCAGATAGTATAATTAACTAGGTGCAATGAAAGGCTTAACTAAAGGCTATGTCAATGTTTAAGTATTTTATAACACTGCTCTTCAAGTAAGAGTGTGCGAGCTATCCTCATACAATTTTCTTGATGCCATTCCTGAACCTGGAAAGGAACGAAATTTGTTGTGTCTATTGCCCTTTCCTTGGAAAGTACAAACGAAATTTGTATATGATTAAGGGTATGTTTTGGATCTCCGAAAATGGTAAGGAGGAGATATAAAGATGGTTCTTTCCTTCAAATTTTCAACTCTATTTCTTCTTGATTTCTACCCTAGCATTTTCTGGGCTCCAAACATACCTTTGAGGCTTTCTCTTCCCGTAGCCTTAATTGCTGCCTGCTTCAGGAAGGAACTGTAGGGTGATTGTCTCCTGTAGCTGTTACTTAATCCCCCTCTGAAATGTATAATTTGCTTGCAGGAGTATGAACCAATTGTTCCGGGATTCGAAGCCCCGTCATCACCCAAGTCAAGTTATGACAATGTGTACGACATAAAAGAAGATGAAGGGCGGCATCCGCCTGAGGCTCCTCCACAACTTCTGGAACCCGTGACAATCCGGAGATTGACCACTGGTGAAGAGACACTTGGCAAGACGCCCAATCCAGTGGTCCTAAACCATCTCTTCACCAATGTGGACGACAGAAAATTTTCGTGGGAACCGGTGGCAGTGGCAACAACTCACCGCTGTCCATCAAAGTATGTGACTGTTGTGGTTTACAAACCTCCTCCTCAGTCTGGAAAGGACAGCCCCAGCAGTACCTGAAATGCTTCTGTGTTGTAGTAAGTGGTAAATATATATAATTAGATACACACACACACTCCGTATTTATAAAGCAACTTTCCAGTGAAACATTATTTCAAACATTAACAAGGATAGTCTAGTCATACTATATCGAGTACGGTATTATACTCTATCAAATTGCTTCGGTATGATATAGTGAGTACCTTGAAAAATAGTCCAACCAAATAGTCTCTGTAAAGTTACAAAAAAAAAAATCAGAAACACAACACACGAACATGATAAATAAATTTATATCCTTATTTTTGTTCAAATTGTTTTTTCAAAGAATGAATTAATTTTTTAATATGTGGTCAGTTCAAAGTTAATACACAATTATTATAATTTTTGTTCAAAATTTAATAATGTAGGACATCAGTAGGTTAATATTAGTACTTTGTACATGTCTTTATTAATGGTCTCAGTATATCACCAAAAAACACCAATATTGTATGGAAATTTTATGACATAATATTTATATAATGTCCCATTAAATTCTTCCAACTTTCCTTTTTGAGTCGTCCCATAAAATTCTTCCAACTTCCACTTTTGGAAAAATTGTGTGGTTCATATTCATTCACCTTTCTATTACACAACTACAACCATACATTTCCACTTTATTCCGTCTTCCTTAATTTGCGAGCCAAGTCAAACTTGGAAGAATTTATTGGGATGGAGGGAGTACTATTTTTATCGAATTTATGTTAGATTGTTGGATACTTGGATGTAATGTTATTTTTGCTCTTCAGGTCCGTGTAAGAGTTCAAATACTAAGGTGTGCAGAGGAATGAGATTTTCAGATTGCGGGATAAAGAGAGAAGAGTGTTTGAAGGGAAAATCGCATATATGGTCCCTCAATTATCCACAAAATTAAAATCTCAGACCTGTATTTCTTTTGTTGAAAGAAATACAGGTCTGAATTATATGTTTGTTTTCTGATAAATTTATAATTGCGATGGAAACATTATATATATTTAAATCTGTTTTTCATTTATTTAGTTTTATGCTTGATCCACTTACCCTCTCAAAAGAAATATGGTACTAGCAAAGGTGAGAAAATGCAGTGATTGTTTTGTACAACAAAAGAGGAAAGATAGTAATAACAGCTAACATTACCTGCAAAGTAATAGAAGATAAATCAAACATGAGAAAATTAGCTGCATAACTCAAAGTACATTAACATCCATTGCATTATCTTGACAGTTTCTGTGATAGGTTCAGTTTGTTTATTCCTTGTGTATCGATCAAAATCCCAAGTTTATATTGCAAAGGAACTTAATATGACAAATCTATTAGTCATCTGAAAATAGAAGATATTTAAATAAATGGATGAAACCATATCTGTGTTTTCAAATTGATTACTAATAAAAACAAAAAAATATCCAAAAGGACCAAAATATTAAACATATTGTTCTCTCATTCAAATTGCTCGAGAATATCAAATATCAAACCAGCCATATATTACGGTGAGAAGGACTACATGTTGATCTTTTTGTCTAACACCATCACAAATATCCAGCATGCAATGAGAATAAAAGTTATAAGGCATTATTATAGTGATCTAAGACTACCTATAAGGCTATAAGCATAGGGGTCACTTATATGTCATTGAGAAGCATTGGATGCTAATATAAAATTATAAATAAGTAAAAAGTTCTACTTCAACCATCAGACAGTTGGGTCGTAACTCAAAGTACATGCCACCCTTAACATCTATCCTCAGTTCCTAACATTGTTTGATTGATTTAGGGAGTGTTTGCTAAAGATTAAAATAAGTGTTTTCAGTTTTTGACTTGAAAAAAACTCAAATGAGTGTTTTCAAATGACAGTTTCTACTTAAATTAATTAATCACTTAAAAGGTAAAAGCTGGAAGCAGGTTGAAAGGTGTTTTAGATTGTTTTTCACTTTTTCTATGACACAAAAATCACTTATTCTATCAAACAATACCAACTTTTACTTTTTATAATCACTTTTTTACCAAACACTATCAACTTTTACTACTCCGTATTAAACATTTTTTCCAAAATCACTTTAAGAAATTACTTTTTAAATTAGAAGCATCACAAACACTTCCTTAGTTTGTTCATTCCTCGTGTATTGATCAAAATCAAATGAGGATAAAAGGATTATATATTTAGAAACCTAATGATAATGTGATACTAATAATATAACAATCTTAAACTTAACAGTTTCTTCCATGTGCTCAAGCAGCGATCAAGAAAGAAAGAGAATTGAGACCAGAAAACCCATCTAATATGATCATCCAAATAAACAAACACTAATTAGGCATTTGCACCATGTTCCAGTATTAGTACGCAGCTCAATATAGAAGAATATTTCAAAGATCATAGCAAAATTATAAGTTCAGAGAGCAAATAAACATACTTTTTTCACCGAAAATGTAACTTTTGATTTTGCGCGTTGAATTATGTAGTTATAAGAAAAATAAGGTTTAAATTACTTCTTTGACTTTACTAGTTGAAGTAATTGTAAATGATTATTTTAAATTCTTTTAATATATAATTTTTTCTTTATCTTATTAATGAAAAACATTTTAAATATATAATTTTTTCACAAATAACCAGAATCAACAATCTAGTCATTACAACTAGAATTTTATAAATTTCAACAAAATCTATAGTTTCAACCTTTCAATCATTTTCAATACCGGCTCAAAATGCAGTTCTACCTAGGGCAGCGCACGGGTCGGGTTCGGGCGGGTCGGGTTCAAAAATGGTTAACCAGTTCGGGTAACGGATTGATAATTTCAAACCCTACCCGATCAAAAAATTTATCGGGTTTTTCGGGTTGAAGAAGTTCGGGTTTCGGTCGGGTTTGTTCGGTTTTCGGGTCCATTCGGATTTTTAATTTATTTTTGTTGAAATTGTGATAAATAAAATGGTAATTGGTAAAAATATCATTCAAAGTTATACTAGTATAACATTCAAAGTAATAGTTGTATAAATACGGTAATCGACATATTTGAACATGTAAAATAATAATATACGGTGATTGACATATTTGATATTGTGATAAATAAAATGATAATTGGTCAAAATATCATTCAAAATCATAACAATACAACATTCAAAGTTATAGTTTTACAAATACGGCAATTGGAATATTTGAATATGCATAATATGGTAATCGGCATACAATAATTGAGATATTTGAACATGCATAATAATTCAAAGTAGTATATATACTACCCTAGTTCGGGTTTTCGGACAGGTCGGGTAGCATAATTGGTAACCCTACCCGCTACCCGCTTAACTCTCGGGTTGCAAAAATCGGATCAGATTTGGGTCATTCGGTCCGGGTTATCCGACCCAAAAAATAAAATCGAATATATCCGATCGGGTCAATCCGGTAGGGTCAGGTTTGCTCTGCCCTGGTTCTATCTTTGTCCGCTGAAAAACTTTAGTACTACCTAATATTTTTGGCATTTTTGGAAGAATAAAGCCATTTACTGCCATTATTACTTTATGGTTTACTGCTAAACGACAAGGTCCATACCACCTGGTCGCCGCTACTGGCCATTTTACTCATGTTGGCTTTCACCCAGGAAGAAGATGTGGCGGGAAATCTCACAGAAAGCATACCAGGAACTGAAGGAACTTTCATCAATCCGACGGATGTATTTGTCCGATTGAAATTGATGAGTCAGATGTGATTCGTGTCCAAAGTGTGAAACGCTTCCTCCCGGGTTTCATCCCTTTCAAAGGACAGCAAAGCACGTGTCACCTCTTCTATTAGGGTAGGTTAGAAAAACGCCATTTTTGATGAAAATCCTGCTTGATTTCCGAATGTGTGTTTTCTTCTTTTTATCTCATGGTTTCTGCTATTTATATGCAAGGGTGACACTTTCTCTGTTTCTTCTATGAATCAATTAGCTTCCTTCTAATATGTTTCTGTATTCACTTGTTTATTTTAATTCTTCTTACACCATTTTATTTTCCCCTGGGATTGGCAGCTTGTTTTCGTATACAGTAGGTCTTCCTTACTGATTGAAGAGCCATGGCCTAATTCAACTAGTTCTTCTTAATTCTTTTACATCTGAATATTTGTTAGGTGTCTGAATAACTAGCTGAATTGCTTGCAAATGCATGGTCAGATTATGCATTGCTTTTTTATTTTATTTTAGGGAAAGCATCCTTTGTTGACATTTGTACTCATAATTTCTTTTTTTTTCATGATTGTAAACTTTTGATCCTATGTTTAGTTTTGTCTTTTAAGCAAAAGCTCACACGAGCATCTGCAGTGGTTTATAGTTAACTTACGGGAAGTATTGCCAGTGATAACACAGATGATAATTTTTCAAGTCTAAGAATGGTTTGTTACCAGTTACAACTTACAAGATTGTATGAACTTCAAAGAAATCCTTCCATCTAAATCATATAAAAAATCTAACAGCATGATCAGAAGCATCCAAATCATTATATTTGAGGTACTGAGTACTGACTACTGACTAACTGTGTCTATTTATTAAGTTGAAGATCAAAACTGGAAGTTTATTAATGTTTTAATTTTTAGAAAGTGAAAATTAGAGATAGTAGTGATAGAGTATTAATCATAGAGAGAAGTGAGAACTAGAGAGAGAACGTGAGCAATTGATATTTCTCAACCCATATAACTACCCCTAGGGGCTATTTATAGGGGAAATGTGGATTTGGGCGGTCATGCCTTGGGCTTAGGAGGCCCATTACAATAATAAGGCCTCTAATGGGCTGAGTACTTGATTTATTTGACTAAGTGTAAAATCTGTTTTGTCGGAGTATTTCTGGCGACGGAGGACCAGGTCGAAGGAGCGCCTGGCCGACGGAGGACCCATTTTGTTCCTGGGCCTCTGGGCTGTATTCTGAGTTCTGGTCGATGGAGGACCATATGGCCGACGGAGTGCCATGTGGTGCCAGCAGTCTGTGTGTAATCCCTTGAGTATGTGGGCCATGGGGTCCGGGCCCATATACTCTGTCAAGTAGGATCCTTCATTAAGCATTTCCTTATTGTTCATCGATTTTAGTTGGCTTTTATATATAAGTACTGGTTGATAGATGGATTTCATTAAGGTCATTTACTACCTCTTACAATTACTTTAACCAAAGACAGAGGCTGATAGTGGATGGATTAAAGCCTTAAAGTGATTTGGGGTGAGGAAATATCGACTTGTTGTCTTCATACACTTATCATAGCATTATTGGTGGCTCGTGCATGATCACCACGTATAGCTGCCCTTGATATGCACTTGTCACTTGAGATTAACAGTGTGGAGATGTGTCTGTTTAGTACTCTGCATGAGACGATTAAATGATTCATTAATGTTACGGGTATTTTTCTATAAATGTGTGCTTCTTCCAATAAGTAAATGCGGTTAGGAGGAAAAGGAAGAAATCAAAGTTATTGAGGATTTTGTGTAAGATGATCATCAATTAAGTCTTGGTGAGTTGATTTATTCTGTTGAGTTCAACACTGCTTGTTTGAAGATAGTTTCTTTGCTGTTATAGTAGTAGCTGCAAGTGTCTTTCTACATATCACATGACATTAAACATGTTTTACGAGGTCAAAGTAGTGTTGTTTTTATCATATGTCAATATTAGTGAATTTGGATTTAAATTCTTAATTTAATTAGTTCATACACATTGCAGGATAACAATGTTCTTTTTTCAGGCTCTTCTTCCATTTCAATTAAGCTTACCCTTTTGACAACTTTACACTTGGCTAGGCTCTTTAAGATGAACAACTCCTCTCAGCATGGTCAAAATGAAGTAAGCAGAAAGTATATTAAGTTTGGGGCAATGAAATGCTATGCAAAGGTTATGTCGATGTTGAATATTTTTTAAAACTACCCTTCAAGTGAGAGTGTGTGAGCTATGATCACACATTCTTCTTGATGCCATTACTGAACCTGGGAAATGCAGGAAATTTGTATTTTTGTTGAATTTTCCTTGGAAGGTAAAGTGAAAATTAGATATGATTAAGAGTGTATTTGGATCCCAAAAAGTGGTAGGGAGAGGGGGAAAAGGTGATATTTTCCTTTCAGAACTATTTTTGTCATTTTATTTCTATTGCATTTTGGGGCTCCAGACTCCTGAGGTTCTCTGCTGAAGCTTGACTCCCTGCTTCAGGAAATAAGTCTAAAGTAATTGCCTTTTCTAGTTTTTCATAAACCCCCATGCCTATATATACATTTTGTGGTTACAGGAGTCTGAACCAATTGTGCCAGGATTTGAAGCCCCGCCATCGCCTGAGTCAAGTTATGACAATGTCTACAACCTCAATGAAGATGAAAAGCACCCCCCGCCTGAGCTTCCTCCACATCTAGAGAAACCCCCGCCTGAGCTTCCTATACATCTAGAGAAACCCCTGACCTTCCAGAGAATAACCTCGGGTGAAGTGACACTCGACCAGCCACCCAATTCTGTGGCCTTAAACCATCTGTACACCATTGTCGACGACAGGAAGTTTCCTTGGGAACCTGTGGGATTTGCAACAACTGAATGTTTTGGCTCAAAATATACGACGGTTGTGGTTTACCAACAACCTCCTCAGAGGTGAAATGGCAGCCGCAGCTGTTCCTGGATGCACAAGTGTAAGGGAAAATTCCCTAAATAGGAGTAAAAAAAAAATTGAAATTCCAAAACAGGACTGCAATGTTTTTATTCCTTAAATAGGATTAATTTCTGCCAAGTTTGGAATTACCCTGCTTTAAACATGACAATTTTATGGCAGAAATTACTCTTATTTAGCGAATAAAACCATGAAGGTCTTTACTCTTATTCAGGACAATTTCTATAACGGTAATGTAGTAAGTGACAAATATTTATTTATTACAAGTGTCAAACAACTTTCGAGTTTTGGTTTGTTGGCATAAATTCATTGTGTGCATTTGAGAATGCAGAGAGATACTTCCTCAACATAAACTGATCGATTCTGCAATGTTCAAATTAATTAATTATAGTAGTTGTTTGATAAAGGCGTGTCAAAGTTAACTAATTGTATGTTATGTTCTACCACTTCTACAGTTCTACGGAGTATTTATTTTTGGTGTATTTGAAACTAAACAAATTTTAAAAATTCATATGCCATAGGCCCATAACTAAGGATGGTTGGGACAGGTCGACCCAACCCGGGATCCGGTCCGGCCCGGCATTGTGAAGGTCCGACCCGGCCCTGTGACCTGGGACCGGGACTGAGGCCTGAACCAGCGAATTCAACAAGCGGGCTACGAGTCTCGAAAATGGTGGACCGGTTTGGCCGGGTTGGGGGTGGGCCTTTTTTCCCCATTGGAATTACTTTGAAAAGACAAAGAAAAAGAAAATTATTTCCTGACCCGATCCCGGCCTGGTCCCGGTACAAACCCGGGCCGGCTCTGGGCCTGAATATTTTGGACCCGGAGCCTGGCCCGACCTGGTCCCACTCCACCCCTACCCCTAACTGCTTTAAATTTTTGATCAATCTATTTTCACAGATGTGACCAACTTTAGAGGTTCACTCAAATTAAACTTATTAAAATTATTCGTTCGTATAAAAGTAACGACCCGACCAAAGGTTGAAAATAAAAACATTTCAAACCATGCTTTAATGTCATGGGTTTTTCTTAACCAATTTTACATTATAACAGTTTTTCACAAATTACAAACAGCTGAATTACATCATTTAATGTAAATTATGTACTTTTCAGGCCCTTGTAGCCTTGTAGGAGTTTAAATAGTAAACCGGTGCGGTAGGAGAATTTCATTTCACATCAATTTCAACTATGTAAGGTTGTAGGGAGGAACAGACGAGTGTTACCATTAAATGTTTCCTTTCCGAAATATTTATTGATTCAGATGTAACCATAAATGTGAATGACTTTTTCATTTATTTAGAGGCCGTTTGGAGCATTGGGCTGATAAGCCTGAAAGTGTATAAAAATAGCCAAACACTTATCAATTGGGATGTTTTGACTGATTTTTCTTGTCAGCTGAAAAAACAAGCTAAAGGTTACTTTTTGAGCTGATATTTATTATTTGACTATTGGTGATTGCAAAGACTCCTTAACCCTTTTATTCCTCCAATATTATATGTATCTTAATACCTGGAAGGCTTGAATACATCTTCATGCGGCTTAGGAAACTCACCATTTGCGAAGACCAATCAATTATAAGAGTAGCAAGTACAATCGGTCTCCGTTATAATACTACAGTTTCATTTTAATATATGTAATCCTCTTTGTTTCATACTTATTGTTAGCATGTAGAAAGCTGGTGAGTATGGAGTACTAGCGTATATAACAGCCTATTGCCCTTTAAGATAAGAGGCAAATTTCCAAAATTGTGTGATTAAGTAATCTTATAATCACCTAATTGTGCGAAAATAATGTGCTGGCAAAAATCACATTCATATATTAAACACACATAAATTAATACCATTTATAGTAATTTTACATTCAATAAAATCAGCATATTACTAATGTTATAAAATCAGCATATTACTAATTTTATAAAATCAGTCAACATATTACCAAACACTTTCACTTCAATAGATTCAACCTTTTCAGACTTTTTAGGAATTCCAGTTGTTGCAGCCGTTACCAAACGTGCCTTTAGTGTTGTTATCGATCTATTTTAACCTCTTACAAGTCAAGAAATATTGAATACTAAGTACCAAGATATGCAAAACAAAATGAAAGCATCATAAATTATCCCATCATAGAGGCAATCGATATGGTATCATCAATATATTTTTACATATGAGGAGAATATAATCACAATTCCATAGACAGTTTACATGGAACTGATGGAAGTGCATGAAACTATGAAAGTACTTTTTGCTAAAAGCAATTTATATTTTTCACTATAATATATTGATGGGTAATTACATAAATTTGAACTTTTGAAGCAAAAGCAATGCAATATCTTGAAATAGAGTACTATATTTTTTTCCCATTAATGTCATACTAAATCATATTTTCGTTACCATGCGTTAATTTCATGATTTACATTTGACAGTTGTTTCAGACCGTAATTAATCCTACTTTGAAAAAAACATAGTACTCCTATCTTGGAGTATCAGATTAAAAAAAATGGCCAACAAAGCGGATAAGTTTGGAAAAGCTTAGTAGCATGAAATGCGTAAATACCAATTGGACAAATAGATACTCTACAGTCTACAAGACTAAACAGTAAACACGGTTTTTCCACTATATATTGTAAAGACTTTACATTTTGAATTTGATGATTGGTAAAAGACTAATAGTATGAATGACATCCACACTTAGGCATCATAAGCTCAAACCAAAGAAACCAAGCCATGGCACATCAAAGATGGACAAAGTGAACCCGTCTAGCTTCACAAACATCCCAAAGATGACTCGTACCAAGACAACCAATCTGTCATTCATGCAACTTATTCATCCCTGCGCCGCGTAAAAAAACATTACATAAAAGAAAAGTAATACGGAAATAATGGAATAATATGTAATAGCAACTCCATAATTTTTTATTCGCAGCATATTACTTTGTTTGGACAATAGATTTTTATTTGCAATATTTCTATTTTGGTTAGTTCTACCGAGTATTTTATTTTTTCAGTTATGTTTCCTGCTTTTTAGTCTTCTTTCCCACATTTTTTAAATTTCAGCTTCTCTTTCCAACTTTTTGTCTCTATTCTGTCCAACTTTTTACATTTTTCTGTGTTACTCATCACCCCTACAATGTTTCCTAATATCTATGAAAACCCGTAGTTAAAAAATAATACTCCGTACTACGTAATAAAAAGATGCATCCCATCCCTGATGGCCTCCAATGACCCAGTTTGTTGGGTATAGTTGGAAATAAAAAATACTGAGGCAGTCATGATAATAACAACAACAATAATACATTGAAATAATAATCAGATAAAATTTGAAATGTACTAGTCAAAATAACACATTACATTATAGTAAACTAGCAATAATTAAAGGATAAAATTTGAAAAATACGAGTAAAAATAACACATTGTTCTCAAATAGAACTATCATTGTTTTTTGTAAATATGATTCATTCCTTCCAAAAATAAGAATTATTAACTTTTTAGAGCAAGAACACATTGTTCTTTTTTTACTATTGAATAGATCCTAACTTTAGAGCAAGACATAACAGTGATCGATACTCCTATTTACGTATAAGACTGTTGTTCTATAAGTCTATTTAATAATACTACGTATAATATTAATACTCCGTAATTGTTATAATTTATAAATAAAGAAATCTGAAATGTTGATTAACCTCTGCTTACAATTATATTGCAATTTTTTCCTTTTCGCATGAATTATTTATAATAAGTTTCTTATCTCCTCATTGAAATGAAAAGTTGAGGTCTCCATGCAATTTTGGCTGCGCCCACCAGGCATACCTAAAGATTAAGATCTAAAGCTGAAAATCCACTATAGATGCATTTTAACCCTTCCCAACTCAACTTGTTTTATGGACTCATTCTCGGATGAGGTAATAATAATCAGAAAGCAAGAACGACATCATAACAATAATTACTACATCATACAAAGTTTGGATCAGAATTTAATTCTTACTGCATTCTGTCGTTCCAATCTCACCAGCCTTTGTGTTGTTGAAAATGAACCAAGAAGTTTCCCATTGCCAGAGCATGAACTACAAGAACGGGCAGCATTGCATTTGGTGCAGTAGCTCCACTTTTTAGGAAGCCTGTTTAGAAGGTGTTAAGGATGCGTTTGGGGAAGTGTAACGTCATCGGTGATACAGCATCTACATAAATGAAAATATGATGAAATATACCCTGCTGTGTATCTGGTTGCCGCATTCTGTGCTGTTGCCCTTGCCTTTACAGCACTTTCCTCGGACATCTTTTTCACAACAAATCCTTCACCTTTGCACCCTGAACAAATACCAGTTCCCCCACAGTCTTCACACATCTTTGTTGGGACCTGATTATGAACAAATTAACCTAGGATTTTGAATGAAGAGGCCTAAAGATGTTTTTATGTTATGGTCTATAATTTCATTTTCTTAAATTGATACTGCAAGTTCTTTCCTTTTTTTAAATCTTAGTCGAAATGACTGCTCGTTAGAGCATAATTAGATTTGACATTTCACACTTAAAGATCTATAAGATGAGTAGCTCAAGACAACGACTTACGTGGCTAACAGAAGCCCAGTTTGGCTTTGTGAGGTTTAATTTACAGCAGCCTAAAAACAATATATTTGATATAAAGAAACGATATGTAGGCCAAAAACTTATTTAGAAACATTAGTTAATCATTACATCCTATCAATATTTTATAGAGATTATGAGAACTGCCTCAATAATCAGAACACAATATTTTGACCGTTGCATGTCACTTTTCTTTTGTTTACAAGTAAAACTGTATCCTTTTTGTCGCATTAAAAAGAAAGAATGAGGAGGTTATTTACTTGGAGTTGAGGTATGCACCTCAACTGAATTAGAAGCTTTAGTTCTTCGTATAAGAAGAGTAGTGGCAGCCCCAACAACTGTGGCAGCAACTGCAATAGATGCTAGTGTTTCTGGTAATGCAGATGAAGAGAGTTCTTTCCGGGCATGAAAATTTGATCTCTTGTCATCTCGGGAACCAATGCTTCTATAAACTGAGTAAGAATAGCTATACTTGGATTCCCTAGCTGCATTGGAGTTTGAATTAAATCCGTTATGTAAAACTACTTCTAACTTCAGCAGCACTTTTTATGGTAAAATATTTACAATTCTCTAAGTGGTGATTTGATATTTTGATAAGCTGAATTAAACATATTTTAAAATCATCAGGCTTTAAGAAAGTGAAGTTGATGCACCATAAAGCTAAAACGTCAATCCCACATTTGCAGGGTAAATTAGTCAAATTTAATGGACCTGATCAAATATTGTATGCCGATAAAGTCTGGACATTTTAAGTGATAGTGATAATGTCTGAGTATAGAGATAAAAAAAACACCACAACAGTGATGGTGGGTTGGATATCGGTTCATGTTAGCTGGCCCCAAAATCTTTTGAGACTAAAGCTTGGGTGTTGTTGTTGTTGTTGCAATGGTGATGGTGGGTTGGGGATGTGTTTTGAACTTAGCGCCTGTTACCACTTGACTGACCTCACTATATTTTTATTTTAATAATTTATACTTATTTGCATTCCTCTTTTTTATAGTTGATATATTATCATTATTATGAGATACATATGAGTACATTTTTGTATACAATATCTCTATATTAGAGATTCTACTAATAACAGTTGATAATAATTATATTATTCTTTTAGTTGTTGTGTTTGCGATATTCATTTCGTCTTTAACCAAAACTTAGAAAGGAAATTGGCTTGTTATATTAAATTCTAACTTAGTATATAAGTTCATTTTGTTTTTTGGATTAAAAAAATTATGTTTCTAATGAACTTGGAATTTGAGGAACTAGATTAAAAGGATAAAGAGAAGTAACAGAACTTTTTGAAAGTTCTTTTCTTGATGCTTTGCTTGCTTATTACTTGAAATCAAGACCACTTGTAAAGATGAGGTTACATAACCAAAGCTTCTTTGAAAGGGAAAGGAATTCACATATCGATCACACCAAAAGCAAATACAATCAATCATCATCATATTCAGATGAAACTATTGAATTCTAGTTTGATACATATTCAATTTCATAAAGGCAGTTCAGCTGCAGCTAATAACTTTTCATTGTCATGCAGATCTGTGAAAATTACTATATTTCTGGCCTGAAGATAGCCAAACATGCCATTTCTAATCAACCTCCACTCCACTGAACCAGAAGGTTCAACCAAACTCATTACCTATTTAGTATTTGAACTATTGGTCAGCAAGTACAAATCTTTATTCATCAATGGGTTTTGGTAAATTTAAGCTTTTCTGACCCAATCACATTAAACAACTCCCTACATATGCACATATCCTAAGACTTGTGGAGGAAAACTGGCACAATCCGTTAACTTGATTCTTAGTTCTTACTATTTTGAAAACCATATATTTCATGAATAAGGTTAAATGTTCAAAAAATAATCACTCAATGCAATACAGTAAACATAACTGAATTTTGTCAATCCTAAGTACTCTCTAGGTAATACAGTAACTCTGAGAAACAGTAGAAACTAACCAAGAACAAAGAAGAGTAAGTGTACATCTTTTTAACTAAATACCAACCCAGTTTTTTACTGTAGAGTCTTAAATTATCATGAATTGTTGAACTACCTGGAAACTAATGTAATAGACATGGAAAATTTTAATTGCTAGACAATAAATTTTCACCAATACACACTGAAGACTACATGGAAAACTCGTTAAGTCACTTGGGCGATGACTAAAAATACATATTCTTAAACTACCCATTTAATTTATCAATATTAATGAACAGACTACTCAAGAACTATAGTTTTCCCTTTAATTATCTCTTGTATACTAAGAAATTGCAACCCGAGGGAAAAGATGCAAATTTTGGCGCAATTCTTGAACTCTCTATCTAACCGCTGGACATGAAAATGGAAGTTGGGGACTTTTGATGTATATATGAATTTAAGGGAATTGTAGATGGCAAATAGTCTTACTGGTACTGAAGAGGGCGAAGAGGGAAGATTGAGCGTGGGGCAATATAAGCTCCATTTCTTGCAAAGTGGAAAGCAACTCTGGAATCGCCTTAGCGTTTCAGATTTTCAGCATTTGGAAGCCACTGATTTTTGTTTTTTAAGCAAAAATCGATGGAAGTGTTAATAGTGTTTGGATTTTGATTATGCATCTAATTCTTTTTCCAGAATTAATTTTTCTAAAAAAACTGATTCCGTAGAAGTTTGGGAGTGTTTGGATGAAAGTGCAGAAGTGATTCTGGTACTCAAATTTATTCCCAGAATCTATTTTCTTAGAAGCTGGGGGTGACCAGCTTCTGAAAAACTGATTCTGATTCTGCTTCTGCTTCTGCTTTAAAAAAAAGGCAAAAGCAGAATCAGTTCCAAACACCCCCAATTTAGATCATTAAAAAGTATTTCTGCGGTTTCATCCACACACTCCAATATTTGTTTCTGCTCGCTAAAAGAGCAGAAGCTGTTTTGAGAAATATATCCAAACATCCCTCAGAGCCCGTTTGGTAACAAGGAAATTGGTTGAATCGGTTGATTTGCTGAAATTTATGAAGTTGTTGCTGAAGTGAGTGATTCTGCTGATTTAAGAAAAAATTATATTTAAATTATTTTTTATTAATAAAATATAGAAAAAGTTATATGAAAAATAGCTAAAGTGACCCTCTACAGTAATTTCAGTCATTATAGCCAGAAAAGTAATATCAACCTTATTTTTTCTTATTATTACACATTTAGCGCGTGAAATCAAAAGTTACATGTTTGATCAAAAAGTTTGTTGATAAGCTTGATAAACAGAAAAACCGACTCACCAACAGCCGTCTTGGAAAAACAAGTAATGTTTGAAGAAAAAATATTTCTGAAAAAGTAAGAATTGACAATCAAGTACTCACTCCGTTCTTTTTTATTAGTTCTTCTTTCCTTTTTGGGACGTTTTTTTTATTTGTCCTTCTTTCCCTTTAAGGAAAGTTTTTGAGAAAATACTTTCACTTTTATTACTTTTACCCCACTTACTTTTTACAAACTACTTTCTCTTTCCTACTTTACCATCATTTTACTCTTCTTAATACACTCTCTTTCCTACTTTATCATCACTTTACTCTTTTTAATATACCATCTTTTCTACTTTATCATTTATCCTACACTCTATACTTACTCTACTACTTTATTATTAAAACTCGTGACAAACTCTAAGAGGATCAATACGGAGTATAAAAGAACGGAGGTCCGTACTATTTTGTCCTATTTTTTTGAACTATAATCAAAAGGATGGACTTTACTGTATTGCTTTAATATTTGGTTTGATCTGATATCGAATTGAAACCATTCAAATAAATCACATCGGAGTGCGCTTTGTCCATATTCTAAAAGGTGTATCTTTATCCAACTTCTTTAATTGTTTCAATTGAAATCACTAATCCAACTAATTACTAATACTAAACAGCCTAAAAATCCATCCTGGGACGAATTTGATCCAAACTTATTCCAAAGCAATCTATATTTCAATTCATTGGATAGATGCGAGTTATTGAGCACGCTATAATATGTGGAATTCTTCCACGAATTCCATTTTTGTTTCTGAAACGTCCTTAATACTTTCCAAATTTTAGGATGTCAAATTTTTCATTATCTTTTAAAGATTATGTAATTTCTCAATGCGGCTCTAATTCCTACAAATAAAATAACTGACCCCCACAAGACAATACTCATACTTTCATACTTTTCATACAGTCAGTTAAACTTGTTACTTCCCCCTCTCTTTAGAGATAATCTTAACTAGGGCGTAAAATTGTTACTTCCCTTGCAAATGTTTTCAATCGTTGTTCTTGTTCTTACCTATGATGCATTTGCTAACCCCTCTAACGATAATAAAAGACACTATTATAATGGGAATACACTATTTACTAGTCCACTAATACACTGGCTACTTAATAATATACTAATATTGCTTTTTGTTAAACTTGTAAAATTCTCTCATGTTAGTGTCTCCCCGGTCGCTTGTTATAAATAATGGGAAAAGATGTCAAATACACTCTTCTATAGTTACAAATTTGTCACCTAAACGCATGTTCTATAAAAAGCATCATACAAACTTACTCTCAAAAAAACATCTAAAGGGGATCGAACCCTTGACGTGAGGTAAGACCCAGACACACCTCACACACCCAATGGAATACCAAATCGTTGCAAATGTGAGTTATTCCACATTTGACGTGAGGTAAGACCCAGACACAAATGTTTTCAATCGTTGTTCTTGTTCTCACCTATGATGCATTTGCTAACCCCTCTAACGATAATAAAAGATACTATTACCAGTCCGTTAATACACTGGCTACTTAATAATATACTAATATTGCTTTTTGTTAAACTTGTAAAATTCCCTCCTGTTAGTGTCTCCCCGGTCGCTTGTTTTTAAGAATGAGAAAAGATGTCAAATACACTCTTCTACAATTACAAATTTGTCACCTGAACGCATGTATGTACTATAAAAAACATCATATAAACCTACTCTCAAAAAAGCATCTAAAGGGGATCAAACCCTTGACGTGAGGTAAGACCCAGACACACCCAATGGAATACCAAATCGACTGCTTGCTCTTTGAATTGAGTTAATATGTGCTACACGTTTTATCTACACTATACCGTCTACTATTGATAGATGTTTTGAATCTTTCACAAATACCCTGCATTTTGTTAGGATAATAAAATAACATCAATAAAAATACTTGTTATATTAAGGAGTATTATATTTACAAATTTATTTATATGTAATAATACCAGTGTGGGACTATAAAGTACGTTGTATAAAAAAACTTGTAGCACATATTTGTACACAAGGTGCAAGCAGGCGAGTTTGGTGTTATTTTTGGCTGTGCGTCAGTGCGTGTATCACAGCTCACGTCAAGGGTTTGAACCCCACTAGAGTCGATTTTTTTACATATTTGAAACTCTTGTATAGATTGCATTTTAGCCAAGTTTTAATTTAGAGGACCAAAAGGTCACAAAGAAACTGGCTATCAATCATCTAACTTATACACGTCACACGTGCTTAATCAAATCGCTAAGACACTACAAAAAAGAACGGAATTGACACGAATTTGGCACAAATTGACACGAATATGTCGAATCCGTGACAATGTCACTTTGTCACCAGCTATTTGGCACATCGTTGTATCAAAAATACGTTATGATCTGTGTCAAATTTATCAATCTGTGTCAAGTCCATGTCAATATAAAAAATACGTTGTTGTTTTTTGTAGCGAGAATGCTAATTAAAAGACTACCCACTACGTGTTATTTTATACTCCGGGTATAACTCGTTGCTCTTTTTGCCAATTATTGGAAATTTACTTTTATAGTTGGGCAATGTCATGCTTAGTCAAACTAAATCTCTCTCCATTTGTTCCAGCTCAATTCGTATAACGAGAAATACAAGTATAGAATACAAATACTAATACATAGAATGAAATGCCAACACTCATATCCACATATATACGGAGTATGAATTACTATGTATCTATTTATTTTATTTCTCTTTCACTTGTAATAAGTTATACTTCGTTTTTATTAGTCCTGTTTTGTGGTAGAATTGTAATTTAACTTGTTATGTTATTATGGTAGGAGATTAGGGGAGAGTTAAAAAAAGTGGTATTTTTTAGCAAAATGCGAAAAATTACACTTTTCGCTCAATGTGATGCACTATTTCGTGTTTCTATTGCACTATTTAGCGGTGACAAACAACTTTGATTTACTAATGCATTGTTGGCTTATTTTCAGCCATTAGATAAATAAATCCGGAATTGAATGAACATATTACCCCTATTTATAGAATTATTCAATACTTTCATGATCTGTAGAGTACAAAAGATCGAATAACAGGTTTTATAAAATGTTACGGAGAGTTTGGTACTACAACATTGAACCCGTGTCCAGTGTAACATCCTTTTTCACATACCCTAAGAGAGTTTTTAATTGGATTAATTTCATATATCGGATTTAGACGTAATAGATCATTTAAGATTTAGGTGGACCATAAAAAACACATTAAGAATGTCCTAACTCCTGAAGAATTAACTGGAAACCATACTTTTTATGTCACTAAACGTCTCTATTGTCACCTATATCGGTAGCGTTTGGTTTTCGGACCATTTGGTGGATGCACACAAAGTGCAAACATTACAATGTTCTAATTATCGTATCATATATACAATATATGATACACTCCTATATCATATATATTTATATAGCATATAAATGGATATTGCAAAGTGGTTGTTTTACCATACTTGTTTTGGTTTACTTTTCGCATATGTAGTGTTAATTTGTTGGTCCGACTCCGAGATTTTATTATATGATTGCATGAAGACATGGAGTTTTGTTGTGTCAGTTTATCTATGCAATATAAATAGAGCAACACATAATTTGAAAGAATTCAAGTGTTAGCATTTATATTGTTTTACGGAAAAATATTGTTGTATTTTATTTTTACTTAATATTCATATTTAATTTCTTAATTGAAGTGTTAAGTCTGTTAAGTCTTTCCCTTTGTTTCGTACACTATTAATAGATATCATTGTTTTCTACGTAGTATATCTTTTAAGCTCGTACTATATTTATGGCAGATGGATTATCCCATAAAATAAAATATAAGGAATCAAATTTATAAAACATGGTTCGTTGATGATTTAGAGGGTCATTTAAATCCCTTAAATTACCTTGCGCTTCTAAATATGGAGTACGGAAGTAGAAAACAAACAGACCAGACAAGTAGGGGTGTGCACAAACCGGTTCAAACCGGAAAACCGGACTGGACCGGACCGAAAAAACCGGAACCGAACCGACCCGGATGATATCCGGTCCGGTTTTCGGTTTTCAAATATTGTAAATCCGGTTTCCAGTCCGGTTCCGGTTAAAAACCGGATCGTTCCGGTTTGAACCGGATTAAACCGGTTTGCTATATTTTTTAAAGTATTAATTAATAGTCTTAAAATAAAATGTTCATAAAAATAATAAAAACTAATGATAGTTATAAAAATATAAATAGTAATATTTTTAATATGTAGTATATATTTGGGAAAATGAAAACTAATAATTCAACCTTTTAGCGGTCTTCTTTTAATAGTCCCACCTTTTCGTTATTCATGAATAATCCAACCTTTGCACCTCATCTTCATTCACTGGTCCCCGACCGGTTGATCACCTGTTATTCCAAGTTATTTTCTTATCTTTGCAAAATATTATCTTTGTGAAAGATGAAATTTATGGTATAATAGTTTGCAGAGATAAGAAAATAACTCAGAATAGCATGTCATCAACCGGTCGGGGACCAATGAATGAAGATGATGTGCAAATGTTGGATTATTCATGAAAAACGAAAAGGTCGGACTATTAAAAGAAGACCGCTAAAAGGTTGGATTATTAATTTCCATTTTCCTTATATATTTTCGTAATGTTTTATTCATCTATATATTCTTATTTTCTTGATAATAGAATTAACTAATATTTACTATTCTACCCACAAATTGCTTAAATCTTTCCTCTATACTAATAAAGTGAATAAATAAATAATACTCCCTCCGTTCTTTTTTATTAGTCCTTCTTTTTTTTGGGACGTTTTTTTTATCTGTCCTCCTTTCCATTTAAGGAAAGTTTTTACTCCAAATATATCTTTATACTCCAACTTTTATTACCATTACCCCTTTCCCCTTTCCTACCTTTTCATTCACCCACTACTCATTACACCTTTACACTACCCCTACTACCTTCCTCTTAAAACTCGTGTCAAACCCTAAGAGGACTAATATTAAAGAACGGAGAGAGTAGTAGTAATAGTAATACTATTAGTAACAAATACCCCATTTTTATTAAGCAAATTAGTTGTATTTTTTAGTATTTTAAATTAATGATTTAGAAACCGGTTCTTTCGGTCCGGTTCCGATTTTAAACCGGTAAAACCGGAACATATCCGGTTCGGTTTTCATTTTCTTACAAATCCGGTTCCGGTCCGGTACGGAACCGGTGCACACCCCTACAGACAAGCAATTTGGTCTACTAGATTAATTAATGATAACAAATTAGCAAGTAAACTGTAAACAGATAAAGAGTTGTGTTTAATTGTTTCAAGATGTAAAGCCGTAAAGGAGTCGGTCAAATTAAAAAAGCTTGACCATCAAAGGAGTCCAGGAGTAATTAATTAAGGGTTTAAAAAAGTATAGAACAAGATGCGTCTGCCGGGAGTCGAACCCGGGTCTATTGCTTGGAAGGCAATTATCCTAACCGTTGGACTACAGACGCTGTGTGTACATCAAACACGTATGAGCGTACATAACTCTAACGACGAAATTAGAGTACATAGCAAGTAAAAACAAAATTATTCTCTCAATCGGCTAATCCAACGAAAACATTGCCACTGTAGACATAAGGGGAAAACATATATCAAATCCCCTGAAGCGAACAAAACTCTCGGTCAAAAAAGAAATCAGACCAAAATCCTAATAATCTTTAAAGAGAAAAATCAAAGAAAAACGGAAGCATGTGAAAAAAATGCTCTCCAAATTGTTGTCACCGTCCAAGGTTATCGCTGATCACGGTGGCGAAGTCTTCCACCCAAGATAAGAGTTCGCCGCCTAGGTTTTTCCTAGGGTTCATCCCTCTCCGTTCTTCTACATGACTACATCCATTCAAGTTCTTTTTAAAATCCATTTAAGATCCAAGTCTGCCACCTAGGTTTTACATAAGTTGGCTCTCTCCGTTCTTTTACATCCATTCAAGTTCTTTTTAAAATTGATGTAGAAGAACGGAGAGAGCTTACCCTAGGGAAAACCTAGCTAAGTGGCGAACTCTTATCTTGGGTGGAAGAGTTCGCCTCCCTGACCGGTGAGAACCTTGGGCGGAGACAATTGTCCAAGGTTTATTAAGTATAATTTTGATTTCTTTTTTGACCGTGAGTTTTGTCCGCTTTAGGTGATCTTGTTGTATGTTTTTTTCTTGACGATGTCTACATGTAATATGTTTCTCGTTGGTTTAGCCGATTGAGAGGTGAATTTTATTTGCTCTTGATTCACAAGACTTGTTCAACCTAGTTTTTGTAGGAAGTTTACTCCCGGTACTAATGGCACTTCAATCCAGGCCTCATTTATTCTCACTCCTCCTAAAACATATCCTTAGTATGAGAGAAAAACAATACTCAGCTAGATCTTCTTTTCGGTGGCTAGTCAAACCAATTATTTGGACAATTTCTATTCGGTAGAGTTTCCCTTTGTTGATTGTTGGGTAAATCAATTCTTTCTTTTCAATTACCAGTGAAGATGGATCTTTTATTTGTGGTTTTTTTTTATCTTTTCAATGTATTAGTAAGTGTAGCAAGATTGTTAGGCTAGACTGTCACTATAAGAATTGTGAGAATTTGTGAATAAGAGTGTTATTGATCCTAAAATGGGAATAAAACATAGACACTACTATTGTGCCGTTTTGCCTTCAATACGTACATATGTAGTCGTCCAACCTGCCTCATGCATGGATATGGATATGCATTCTAGCTATTTGGATCAATTAGATCAATCTGATCTCCATGCATATGTCGAGCTACCTTAACTTTAATTAATTTTGCTCGGATAGCAATGAGCTGTCTGCACGTATATATGCATGCCATGCACCAATATCTATATAAACACTACCCCAAACCCACCCCTTGCTCACGGGCCTATTTATACTGATCCTACTTTCCCACTCAATATAGTCTTTAACATCCGTCTTTCCCCTTAGCTTCTTCTTCCCATTCCAAATTCCAAATATAGGCTAAGCTAAGCTAGCTAGCTTTACAAGAACAACAATATATACTATGTATGCTTCTCTTGGTAATTTACTAGTACGCCACAAATTCCTTATTGTGTGCATTTTGGTGGTTTCTATGACGTTGATGAATCGGGCTGGCGGGGAGCGGGCTAATCCCGATCGTCGGGTTCCTTTGAAGGCGACGACGACGACAAAGTCATCGGATTCCGCGACTGATGACATCGGTGCAAGTCATGAGGGGGTAAATGATGATAAAAAGGGAGAAGGAGAAGTTGAGTTGAAAGGGCCTTTGAAGCGCGGGAGGATGCCGGCTTTCCATGGGAAGGAAATTAAGGACTGTTTGCCAAAGGGATTTAAGCATGCTTCTGCCCCTAGTCGTTACGTTAACTATCACATTCTTGGCTCTTTCCGTTGCTCCGATCCTCCTCATCTCCACCATCACCAGAAACCGTAATTAGCTTGCGTGCTAAGATTGTTGTTGATTTCAGTGTTATCAATTTCGTCGTTTTAATAAGTTTGGGAACGTAACACTTATAATTCAGGTTGATGTAATAATAGTCAATTAAGAAGGTAATTTTGTAAGTTATCTATGTGTTTCCCATTCGTGCTTTCTTTTTTTATTTGTCAATGTCTAATCTCCCTAGCTTCATAGCCATTCTTGGTTTGTTATGTTCCTCGAAAAAATAAATGACGATGAAATGACAAGGTTTCAAAACTCTTAATAAAACTCTCACTTTGAATCGACACACTTATTAATAAAATAGAGATGCATTCCCAGGGGCGGAGCCAAGGGGGGTCAGGGGGTCAGTCGACCCCGCTGAAAGTTTGAGAGCATAGAGCTCTGAAATATCTTCGGTTTGATATATTATGGCCCCCGTAACTCATTACGAATAAAAAGTTATGACTTCTGCAAAATCAACACTATCTAAACGTAAAATCAGCAAAATTTGATGAGTAATATTGATTTTTCTCCCAAATTTTAAAAATAGCGTATAATTAACTCATTACTTACGTGTCATGACTCAAAAATAGAGCAAAAACAGTCTCTTTTATTGTTACGAGTGCCTATTTATCTAAACTACATATAAAATATTCAACCCGGACGTTGTTTGGAAATGATCCACCGTTTTCATTTTGTATAAAGTTGATTCTCGACCCCCCTGGACCGTATTTCTGGTTCCGCCACTGTGCATTCCTTAAAAGGAAATGGGAAGAAATTTTCGAGATATCCAAAAATGAGTGAAAAAGATCACGGAACAAAGGTAGGGGTGGACTCGAGATATTACAAAGGTAGCATGAAACTATTTTGGTTTTTCTCCACAAATAATGGCCATTTAGCCATTTAATTAGTTGATTCCCCCTGTAATTGTATTTTTTTGTCAAAATGTTAACAAACTTCATTGTTTGCCACGCAGGCGCAATATTTAATACATACTGTTTTACTTTAATGAAAACAAATATGTGCTACATATATACCCACCCTATAACAACTAGCTCATGGCTTTAAATGTTTGATCATCAAGTATCCTTTTCCAACTCCAACCCACTGGGGTTAAGTTGAGATCCGGCCACTATTTCTAAAGCTATTGCATCACCTATACCTACAGTGTTGTAATGGTCTGTTTAGTGCAGGAAGAACTTGAAGTAATGGTGTATCTGAATAAACTATACCGATACAACTTGCTCAGCAAGGTGAAATCATGCATTTACAGAAATGTTGTTAGTTCGGACTTTGGAGAAACGTCGGATTGATATGAGTTTCACCTTTTCTCTTCAGGGGATGACACGACCACACACAAGTTGTAAGGGGAACTCATATGCATGTTGACAAATGTTGTTCAGTTCAGACTTCAGAGTATAACGTCAGTTGGAGATGAGTTTCACCTTTTCTGTTCAAGGGATGACACAACCTCAGGAGGACAGAAGGATGAGTGGAATGGAACAAATATACCCCGTAGAACTTAAGTTCTACATTACCTTGCTACTTTTTTGTCTTAAAAAGTTTGTTTAAGGCCGATTAGGGTTAATAAACATAAACATAATGTAAACCTTTAAGAACATAATTGCATCTTAAAAATATTTAGGATAAATCTACACCTACACAGCAGTTGCATCTTTTTCCCAAGACATTAGAAATAAACGCTTTAGTCAGGATAATCCATGCAAAACCAGGAATTACAATAATTGCAGTAATATACTCTAATAACTTGTATCCATGTCTTCAGAAATTGTTCACATGGAAGTGATTGAAAAGAGTCGCTTAAGTTTGACAGTAATAACAGAAAGACCACCATTGTTGCAAACTTGAAAAACAGTTGGGCCACCCCGCAAAATACAGATAAGAACATTTATATATTTAACTATACAGGTCGTCTTCATCAGGTGCAGAAGCAGAATTTGCAAAAGGATCAGATCCAGCGGTTGCCCCACCCGCAGCTGATTCTGTGAACCGGAACTCAGCCCCAAATCCCCTAGACTGCTGCAAAGTCTGAGCAAATGCTTGGTATTTGCGTATATCTGCATCACTGACACTCCGACGAGCATACTTCATCGACTCCTCAAAATGTGCAGCCTTTATCTCTGCAACTTCATCATCCACGTCCTCGTCCATGGAGTCTGGATTCTCCCCCTTCCTTCTTTCCCTCTCTATATCCTGCACCCACATAAGAACTTATTGATGAGTCATACTTCGTATTAATTAATGATAAAACGTTAGGTGCCCTTTTAGAGGCCGTCGTCTTTTTTTGGCTTATGAGCCCTTTCAGAGAGTATCAGCTATACAGTTTTCCTAAGACCGACTTTTTTGCATGCTGAACTGTTTAATAATGATTTTTTAGATAAATTAGCTGTTTCCCATATAGATAAGAAGTATGGAGTAATATATAAGCTTTTTCCCATATAACGTTTTTCTCGGTTTTCGTAGTCCAGTAAATTTTAAAATATATTCTTTATAATGCAGCCATTTATTGAGCCGATACAGTTAATTAGAGATAAAATATTCTACCGCTGTTCCACAAATATTAGGTCATTTTAATTCTCGGCCCTTAACTTTAATTTTTCCATTCTGGTACAAATCAGGAGGATTTCTCACAACTTCTGATATTTCCTCAAAAGTACTGAAAGTAACAGGCAATCCAAAACCATGCACAATGGGGGGAGGAAGTGAGGAACCGAAAGTGTAAAATTCAAATCAGAAATCAGTAAGAGATAAGACATACTTTCTCAATGTTCTCCCTGATGGCATATTTGCAGGCTCGCTGACAGATCTCTGTAATGTCAGCACCACTAAAACCTTGAGTGTATTTTGCAAGAGCCCGCAAATCAACATCCTTAGAAACAGGAGATTTTCTAAGGCAGGCCTTGAATATCTGATGCCTGGAATCTTCGTCAGGCAGAGGAATATAAATCAACTGATCAAGTCGACCAGGGCGAAGAAGTGCTGGATCAATTATATCTGGCCTGTTTGTAGCCCCAATTATGAAAACGGTCTTCTTTGCAGTCATGCCATCCATTTCTGTCAGGAGTTGGTTAAGAACCCGATCGGCTGCACCACCTGCATCTCCAACACTGCTTCCCCTCTACCAGAATTCCAGGGTGGATTATTTTATTATCAAAGAACAGAATTTTTAATAAGCAAATCTACTTTTAAAACTTATTGTGGCTTTCATCAAGGTTCTATTAAGAACACATAATATAAATGAAATTTGGAAGGAAATAAAATACAACAACATCCAAGCCTTGATCCCAAAAGGTTTTGGGGTCGGCCAAAAATGTGAGGAAAAAATACGATCTTAGTATAGGAGGAACTCTTCCGTATACGGCTTCAAAAGGGGACATGTAAAAGTATGGATTATTGGTGTCAATTTCGCCTATATTTTTATATTAATTCAAAATCAATTTTATTTATTTTTTTCTGTAGTATACAATGACTAAGAACTATTAAGAAAGTAAAAATGTATATATAGTATTAAAGTTTAAAACAAACAACTTCAACATATTTCACTTTCCCTGAGGTCAAACTAAAAAAATAGCTTTCCCTGTTATTTTTTCTTTCACTAACATTTTACAACGTCAAAACATACCCAGATAAAAATAAGAACTGAAGATACCTGAGTGGCAATGGAGTCAAGCTCATCGAAGAAGAGAACGCAAGGTGCAGAACCTCTAGCCTTGTCAAAAATTTCACGGACATTGGCCTCACTCTCTCCAAACCACATGGTGAGCAGTTCAGGGCCTTTCACACTGATGAAATTGGCTTGACACTCATTTGCTATAGCCTTGGCCAGCAGAGTTTTTCCACACCCTGGTGGTCCATAGAAAAGAACACCCTTTGAAGGTGACATACCAAACTTCTCGAATTTCTCGGGGTGTTCCACAGGATATTGAACAGTCTACGTGCATCAGTGCATGATAGTAAAAAAGGTTAGACCATGAGCTAAAAGATTTTAAATAAGGCTATTAAGTTTTCAAAACAATGACAAAACATTAAAGCATTACCTCTTGAAGCTCTCTCTTAACATTTCCAAGACCTCCAATGTCATCCCAGCTGACATTGGGCACTTCCACAACCTGATGGGACATTGAGTACAAAAGCAGTAAAATTGTGTTCATAAAACTTTATCATGTCACCACAATATAAAAGTTTATTTGGGATACTTGTTTCCAAGGCATAATTGCTTTTAGTGGAAAAAGTACTACTTCAAAAAGAAGCACTTGATAGTAAAGCACTTTTAGTGCTTATTGAAGAATGCATCAGATTGTAGCTCTAAGAAAACCACTTAAACTCTTAAAGTGCTTGAATAAGAAAGCATTTGTACCATGAAGTAATCCAAATCAGCCTTTAAATGTTACCAAAGCAAGTATACTTACAGTCTCACGCAAAGCAGAAGGATTGCTTGTTCCAAGGGCAGTTTGGAAGTGTTCATTCGAAACAGCCATAGAGTTCAAAACCTCAGCATCAATGGTTTCATCCTCCAGATCAATGACATCCATCTTTTCTCTAATGCATTGAAGTGCAGCTTCAGTGCAAAGAGCAGCAAGATCAGCACCAACATAGCCATGAGTGTCTTTAGCGATTTTCTCCAGATCAACCTAACAAAAATAGAGAAACAACATCCAAAATGAATATGGAGTATTTGTTTTCTTTTTGCATGAACAGCAAAAACATAAAACAATGTGACAGCCTTACATCTTCAGCCAGCTTCATGTTCTTAGTATGAATCCGAAGAACTTCAAGGCGTCCAATTTCATCTGGAACACCAATGTCTATTTCCCTGTCAAACCGACCAAATCTCCTTAGAGCAGGATCAATACTGTTAGGACGATTTGTAGCTCCCATAACTATAACATGAGCACGTGATTTCAGTCCGTCCATCAGAGTTAAAAGTTGTGAGACAATTCTTCTCTCAACTTCACCGTGTGTTTTCTCCCTCTTTGGGGCGATTGAATCAATCTCATCAATGAATATGATGGAGGGAGCATTCTTTTCAGCCTCTTCAAATGCCTTCCTAAGATTGCTTTCACTCTCTCCAGCTAATTTGGACATGATTTCTGGACCATTGATGCAGAAGAAGAATGCACCAGTTTCATTAGCAA